ACACACACACACACACACACACACACACACACACACACACACACACACTGTTTACCGTAGAGCAGCTGAGCGAGCTGCTGGTTCAGGATCTGTGGAGCTTTCTGGATGATGCGTTCCGTTACCAAGGTAGCGCAGGATCCCACTGTTTCCACAGTAACAGGACAAGAGGGAGAGGGCTCTCTCTCCAACAGGTGATGGTCGATCACCTCCACCACCGCCCCCTCCAGGTCACTGTCTGAACTGTAGGAGAGAGACAGGTGTGCTCATCTACTTCAGAAACCAGACGTTCATGGATAGAGGTTTGGAGATTTCTCGATTCTTAGATACATCACGATGCAGACGTGTACTCTGCATCGATGCAGTGACTGAACATTATCGTGTTTTCAGCTACGTTCATAGTTTCAGCGGGTTTCCATCGCTGAATAATTCTAACACCGTTATTAGGACACGTACAGGACTGACATTTACTTTGCTTCATCAGGTTTTTGAGATTGAGAGGCCAGTGAAGATGCTCACCTCTAGTCATGGACGAGGATACCTATGCAGGCTAACATACTTGTCACATGTTGTTTACTTGTCATGTGCTGTTGTTTACCTGGGTAAGACGTTGTGGTCGACCAGTGTCAGCTGCAGGCGTCCGTCTCGGTGCAGGACTCGGAGGTCGAGCTGGTCTCTGAACATCAGGAGTTCTGGAGACAATCCAGTTTGTTGCAGCAGGAAGACGACATCTGAACGCAGCAAAAGCTCTGACTGACGGATGTTCATCAGAGGGAGAGCGAGCATTTCACTGGGCGAAGTCTGAGAGAGAGAGGACGGTCCACTTTTAATGTGGAAAACTGACAGGAAGCAATTATTTGATCAACAGACTGATCTCACCTTGGACAGGAAGTAGGCGTAGGCCAGGGCGGACACCACCGAGTCCACATCACACGCCTCGTTACCCAGAACAATGTGGAACAAAGGACCAGGCTGCTCTGTGTTCGCCTGAAGGACGAGAACCACGACGCACCGTTTAAACACGGAACATGGAGCTCAACATTAAAACTACATAACCAGAACACATTCATCACATGATGATAACATGATGATCACATGACGAACACATTCATCACATGATGATCACATGATGAACACATT